CTTCATTTCCATTTCTGGGATGTTTTTAAAACCCTATAGCCAGTGAACGTCCCATATGGGACACATATTTCACAATGACGGGTCGGCGTACACGTTGCAAAACGCAACGAACGTACGTGGTATCAGGTTAATTGAAATGCGTTGGTATGGCTTACCCTTCCAAGCCAATCGCCCATGAGAACGTGTTTAAAAAAAGAAAAAAAAAAAACAAGAGACAGATGGAAAAAATGCAAACACGACAGACATCGGTGGAAACGAATTTCCAACGAAAAATATCAACCTCGCCGTTCTACACGCTTTGCTTTATTTTATTATCTGGAACCCTTTTACAATTATATTTGAATACGCGATGTTTTCTTCGCAGGAAGGATAATTTCTTTGCATTTCTTCGAATAATTTTACTCTAACAACAACAAATGATACCTACCAGGATAGCGTAAAAATGAATTCTTCCATTCTCTGGATAAATTTTTTACTTTAATTTTATTCTAACAAGAAACAAATTTATCTAGCAAATATCAATAAAAGATCTTGTCTTAGCGTAAAAATGTATTTCTTCCTTTTTTACGCGAGTCTCAAGATTTATTTTCGAAATTGTTTTCACTCGACAATGAGATCTAGTTTTCTCTACGTCTTTAAGAGTTTCTCCACTGTCGGTCCTCTTTCAAACAATAGAGAATTTACTTTAGAGTATGATATTGCTATCCTTGACAGTATATATCCTATCGTAGCCTATCTTATTGCCTATCTGTATTCGTTATCGCCCCTAAATCGTCAGTATTCGGTATCAGCCTCTCCACGTCTCAATATCCTGCCCTTATTAAGTCTCTTTGAAACCGAGTATTCCCGTAGCCGATACACAGTTTCGTCGAAGATGCTCGCGTCGCAACATTGTTACAGCTAACAACGAATCTTTACGTCCTCCATCGATCAGTGGTTTAACGAACACCCAAGGGCGCATCGTTGCACCAGAGTCCTTGAACTATATTGAATTACGTAGCCACCCATCGATCGAATTGTTTGCTCGCTAATATACGCGAGCCTCGTAGCTACGTTCGAGAAAGCCAAGCAAGAATGACGAAAAAAGAAAAAGACGCAGACATATATCCACACATCGTGTTTCCTCGTCACGTGCTTTGTCATTTTTACGTAAACTTTGACCGGAATGAAAGAGAATCGTATGCTGGAAATTTAACCGTGCTACGGAGAATATCGAATGAAGGCCGGTTACTCGAAAACAGCCACGGGGATGTCTATTTATTCCATGTTGGATGCAAGATATCCCGTTTGCCTGTCCGTAATGTCCGAGAAAAAGCTGTAGCCATTTAAATTTTAAATGTTAAAACCTCGTATTCCATGGACCCAGTAAATCCAGACTGTCTGGAAGGCTCGAGCCGCTTCCATCCAGCCGCGCAGAGATCGACGATTCGGCTCGGCTCGACCGCGGGAAACCGATACGATTCGAGACGTCCACGGGAAACCGATACGGTTCGAGACGACCACGGGCTTTAGCGAACGCGCTAAAAATAAGGGGGGCTATTGAAAATTCTCTTCGGGATTTATAGGCATTTTTGCCAGAGCAGCGATAAATTCGAAACGCGTGAATGTAATGCATTCTATCGGACGCGAAATATCGAAGCGACCCACGACGAGAAAAAGCGAACGAGACGAGCCTCGAATGAAATTCCGCGATCGGTCTCTTATTTACGACGCGTGTTTGCCATTTGGCTCCGCGCACAGATCAATCTGCGACGTTTGTCGCATTTTTATATTTCTTTCTCTTCTTCCTGTTCCCTTGGGTAATTTACTGGGAATACATTCGTCGAATATTCAACGGGAGAATCGGGGATCTCGAAGGGGGCCTGTGCGCGGTTCTAAAAGTAGCCCAAGAAAATCGATCGTCTCGAGGCAAAACAAGAGAACCGATAGGGAGCTGTTTCACGGAGTAATTCGCGCGGTCGGCACACTTTTCGGAGTCTGCAATTCTCCGGCATTGTCTCCCGCGGGAAAAGAGCAAGAAACCGCAATTGTGGCATACCTCCGTGGGTCACCGTGGCTCGCGGCCAGCGTCAGGAGTCGCTCCTGGAACTGTCCCAGCACAGGATCAGCCCAGGAATGAAAATGAATGCACACGTTCCGAAGCAGTGGCGAATAAATAAAGCGTGTTGCTGTTTACTGTTTTCTCCTGCTCTGGACACGTTCGCGGGTTAAAACGTACCGAAATTTTCCGCCAGAATTCCCTCCGACTATCTCGTTAGTCGCGATTTCGCCGCCAAGACCTTTTTTCTTTCTCGTACGACGACGCGGACCCTAAATTCAATTCTCAGCTTCCAAATACTTTGCGATATTCTCGAAAAATCATGGACGTGATTTGCGTGACTCGCCTCTATTTTATTAGTCTGTTTGACCAGGTATCTGTGAAGTTTTTAAATCCGATTCTCAAGTTTGAAATACCTTACGTTACTATCGAAATATGACAAAAGTAACTCGATTGGACACAGCTATATTTTACTGGCTTGTTTAGCAAACAACGTCTAAACCAACCGAGATAACCGTGAATAATTACTACAGGCCTTAATTCTACGTGGGAACTAATTGCTTCTCGGTTGAAGCGATTTCGGTTGACCAGCGATTGCCTAACTAACTCGAGTGTTAATTGTTCGGCTGATCCGAATACCGATCGAATCACGATTCTCTTCAATATCTAACAAGAAGTTCTCTTATTTTCGATCTAATCGATCGAAGATCGATCAGCTATTTTTGAGTGACTGTCTCGAACGCTGATTAATATCTCATTCCGAATTCTAATAGAACGAATCTCAACTTGCCTAATCTAAGATTCGGATTTAACGAATTATCTATAGAATCGCGCGATAAATCATCTTCGTTTACATATCTATGGAAACTTTTCATATATTTCTCGAGTATGACACGTGGTGACGGGATTACCACGAGGAGGATCGTGAGACCGAAGCGGAAATTCGAGAACGGACCGCAGCGGTATATAGTGACAGAGAGATGACGGCCGACTGACGGAATGAATGTTGAAATTGTAATCGAAGGTGAAGAACTGTGTGGCGGAACGTGGCTGGAGTAGAGAGATGCCGTTAACGGTAACCCGTGGCAACCCGTGCCGCGTCCCAGCATCGATCCAAGTTTTATCGAAGCGCTCCAGCCCCGCCCTGCCTCTATGGAGCTGGCCGAAAATTCGACTTTATCGCGGGAATTGAAAACGGCGGATTCGGTTTATGGGGCTCGAACGCCACCGATTCCATTCACTTCCAACGTAAACAAATTTCACCTATCGGTTTCTTGGACGCCAGCTGGCATCCCCTGTCCCGACGATGGGTTTACCAAACCGAGTAACTTTCTTTTAGAACGATTTACGTTCACGGCAAGTCGATAGAGACGTATTTTTCTTCGCTTGTTAATCTTTTCGTTACTTAATTAATTTGATCCTGTTCTTTTCGAATTTTCTATCGCAATTTCGCTCTTTTTTTAACAAACGGAAAGACATCTAACGTTTGCGAAGAAGCTTTAACATAAAACTGAAACGATAAAGTTCGCAGGTTAGTAGCAGTTTGTTCTCATTTTTTCATGTCTTGAAAGATGTTTAAACGATAAGAAACTACGATCGAGTTAAAAATAATCCCGATGTAGCTACCATGAATGTTAGTGTGTAATTTTTAAAGCGAGATTTTCCAACGATAGTCTTCGTACGATCATTTCGATATTTAGAAAGGCGAAAGCATTGTTCACGGATGGAATGAAACTAATCTATAACCGTATGATTAATTCCTGATACTATTCCTGATAATATTCCATTTTATAATTCTAAATACGTAGCCATAAAAATTCCGTGGAAACGAGATGATTCGATCGAATTCTAATTCACCGATACATAAAATACACCTACGATTCTTTTTGAATAAAATGTATCATTAATCTCTCTGAGAAATATCACGCTTATCAAAAGTAGCTTGCTCGAAATTGTTTATCAACGGGTCAATAAATGACTGACGTAGAGAAAGCGAACCGCGAATGGGGAATTTTTCATCCTTCCGTATTCGTATCTAGCTGAGATTTTTCATCACACGGCCAAAGTACACGCCCACCAGAGGTTTCTCCCCATTGTCCGGAATATTCTTTTCTGTATCGTCCGCGACGAAAGAGTAAACGGCGTCAAAAATATTTCCCCAAGCGTTTCTCTATCCCTTCCGTGTTGTCGTCGTGCTTTTATCCCTTTGTCACGTACCGATCAACGTCTCCGGACGGTGTTCGTTCGTTATCACGGCATTTTCACGGAGTTGGTTGGTTCGCGCGCGCTCGCGTTTCAATCGTTAAAATCGTGCCTCTCCTGTTTCGAGGGCCGATTCTCGATCTTGGTCGATTTTAACTTTATTCCTTCGCCGCTCGTTTTTCCCCTCTCCCTTCGCGACATCTGCGTGTTCGTGTGGTTCGTTATGAAAGCCACGTTTCAGCATCGCTATCTAGCCACTTTCATCGCGAATTTCATTCCATTTGGATCCAAGCACACGTTGCAATCTTCGTTCGATGTTCGCAGCGAACCAAGCGCAAGTTTCGTAATTCGTCGCGTCTTGAAAGCATCGAGCTTCTCGTTCGAACTTTCGAACATTCTTTTTATATAGTAAGAGAGACGCGTAATATATTAATTTTCAATGGCGATACTTTGTTCGCTGCGGAACAAACTCTCGGTACGCCCAGTCCGTGCAACGACTATCAGAAATGCGACGATTAAGCAGGTATATGCGAAAGTAATCGAACATCGTAGGCAAAACCTGATTTCTCTATGGATGGTTGTTAGGTTCGTTAGTCGGGGCAACGATAATTAGTCTGGCGGCAGCGTTAGTCGCGTCGGTTGTCGTTCCAGTGATTGCGGTTTTGCGCACGATATATCGACGCTACCACAGAGAGTGGTCGAATGATCAGACTATCGATAGGCAGGAGAGAAAAAAAAAGACGTCGTATCCTCTACTCACCTCCGTAGTTCGGCCTTACTCTTTTATCGTAACTGACGGAGAACGAGTCCAATATCGCGGAGATGTTGACGTCATTCAGCATACTGCCACCGCCGGTTCTGCAATATAAAGAGGATAACGATTTTGAGAAAACTTGCGCCACCGGCACACCGGTAAAGTAGTTCTAGAGCGGTATGAAACTGGTGGCACGAGACCAGCGTATACAACACAGGCCGGCGAATACTTTTAATATGACTGACGTGCCGCGAGTTACGATACAGAAGGGGAATGGGTACAAAGTCTGATGTTTAAGCCACGTTGAGGATATTAAAGTTTCATCCGCTATGGTGAAGTTTAAAAAAGAATTTTAGAGCCCTCTGTACGCGTACTTTCCGCGCGTACTGCGTTTTAATTATGAAAGAGCGATGCGACTATAAATTTAGGACAGCAACTTCTTTTTTTCTTTCGTATTTCTTTCTTCCTCGTACACGGTGAAACGAGCGTCCCGAGTAGCTCGAGTTGTTTATTTTTTGTTACCTTCCCCCCTGCTCCTACTTTCTTTTCTTTTTTTTTTTTTGCTCCTTTTCTCTTATAAACGCTCGAATTTTTATGCATCAACGAGTAACTGTTTAGTCCGCCAACCGCATCTGTATATAACGTTAAACAGAATTGTGTGTCAAAGAAACGAGCGTGCGGTGGCTGATTCTCGTGGATCAACCGCGCTTGCCCGGTTAAACGAAAAATATGCTTTTGACGCTTACAAGCGGCTAACGCGTTTAAATGGCCAATGACGCGAAACGGCAAGAGATAATTATATTTCAGAGTCGATGCGCAAAACGGAGTTTGTCAATGAAATATTCTCTCTGCTCTATATTTTGTTCGATGACATGATCCATACGCGTACTCGTACATTGTCCTATTTTTCTTTCCTACTTTTATAATATTGAAAGAAGAAGGTTAAAGGACATTGGTATTCTTAATCCCTTTAAAATTCACGATATCCATTAAATGTTACATTACGCTCTTACATACTAACCTAATTAATACGAGAAAGAAATTCAATTCAATTTTAATTCCGGCGATTAAATTTCTGCCGTACGGTACTTCCATTTTCTTCCAATAATTATTTTCAAAGGCATACAAAAAAGAAAGACAGAAAACAGATACCTCTTTAATATCCAACGCTTAATAGCTTTTTAATATCCGAGGTTTCTCCAATAGCGGGTAATTTATCGTTCCCCTCTTATCTTACGTTTCCCAGAGATTTCCTCCGAGTGAAGAGACATTGTAACGGTTTGTGTAACGTAGTCGTGCACGATGGAACTTATACGTTAGCTTAGACACGTAAAATGCAGAACGTCTGGGTTTGACTTAACGGGTCAGCAGATATGGGCTCGATGAGCCAATCAATCGGTTTCGAATCAACGAATTCCATCGAAGATACTCCGCTTTAACGAAAGAAAAAAGAAAAAAAGAAAAAACAAAAGAAAGGAAAAGAAAGGAAAACTTACGCTATTCTTACAAAAAATGTTTTAGTACCGTTGGGGATCGAAATCCGTAATTAGACGTTTGGTTTGATCATTCGATAGAGATCGTTCAACGGCCACTGAAACGATATCGTTTTAGCCGTTTCGCTATGTGGTTGTGATCTTTGCCGAGGTGTGGAAGGTAGCTCGATCGAGATACGCGCTGGAATAAATGACCGTACGCGTGATAAAGTTAACTTACTGATGCGACAATAGTGGGCGGTACCGAGGCTTTGCGCGGGCTTCAATTATCACAGATCAGTTCGGTGGTATCGTGGAAATTCGAGCGACCTTCCTTTCACTGTTAATCGATGCCTTGCTCCCGATTGCAGTTTGCGTAGTTACCGTATTTGTAGATCGAATGTCTCTAGAATTCGACATTCTACGTCTATGTCTATCTTATTAGGTCGTTCGAAAAGCGTCTTTCTTTTACAGACACGTCTTTTACAACGACGCATCTTTATACAAACGTCTAATCTGTCGATTGTTGCGATCTTTATTTTGATAGAACAAAATGGATCATACGTAATTGGATAAAATAATATAAAATGGGCATCCACTATTTCCTTATAAAACGAAAGAAGCTTTTCGGACGACCTAATATATCGTCTTATATTCTTTTGTCTGTTAATCTACTAAGGACCAACGTTGCGCCATCGCGACATTTCAGTTTCAATTCTTGTTCCACTGAAACCATTGTTCTTGACTTTATCGTTATGGGAACGTAGATTATGGATTCTGAATGACAAACTGTTCTTTTTTAGATCATCGAAATTTCTTCTTGTATTATTTATTTCCTCTTGGATCTGTAACTTATGTGTCAGAATTCTGTAAGGTATTTATTATTCTATATATATCTACGTTTTTTAATAATATTTCTCCAATGCAATTTTTACATATTACTCTACCGTTTGATCTTTAACGTTAGAACTATCAGAGTAGTCAAAATCACTGATCGGTAATCTTTCATAGAAATTTTATAAACGTGTCACGGTAGCGACAAGCATTGATTATTATTGAATGAACTTTTGTATAGTACGTACATGGACAAAGATTTGTTCTCTGATTTGTATTATATATCCGTCCATGTACTTTTCATATTGTTTTCTTTGATATCAAAGTTACAGTTTAATCACGTATAGTTCTAATGTTAGTAGCGAATTAATCTCGCGAATTTTGTATAGTTAGTTTTGATTCGTTTCATCGCATAAACGATTTTATATATCGATAAGTATCGGTGACATATCGACTGTAAGCGTAGAAAGTTTAAAGGAGCGGCTGAGAATGAAAGTCGAAGGACTCTGATTGATTCGACGATTGCGGGAATTTTGGAAGTTTCGAGAGTTCTGGCGATTCCGGAAGTTTCGCGAGGCATTCTAGCGTTTTAGAGATCCTCGATGTCTCTAAGGAACACAGGAGTTCCAATGGTTATAAACGTATCACTGAGTTCCACTGCTTTTAACAGTTTAGGAAATAGTACTTCGATTACACTTGCGGTTTTCGAGATAGCCAAGTCCTAGGGATTCGAGAAGATTTAGAAGATTTTACATATCTCTGGAATTTCTCGTTCGGAAGTTTCTCGAATTTTACAATTTTTCAACGCTTGACACACGACGAATCTTTGAAATCCCTGGACTTTAGCATATTCGTAAGATCTTTCTATCTTTTGGAAACTACAGAACACCGAAAGTTCATGAACCAGAATTATCGAAATTCTGTGAAATTCTCCGAACTTAATGTTTTCGGTATTTCCAAAATCTCTCGATAGTTCTGAATTCGTCAATGCTTGTAATATCCTCTGAAACCTTTGGGATCAACTTGTCAGGATGGCCAGAGTTATGGTAATCTCTTGAAATCTTTAAAACCCTCGAATTCTCTCAGACTTTCGAACCCGCTAAAACTTCAAAAAAACTCCGTAGGTTCTTTCCAAATTTCTGAATTTCCCTTCCCACATTTCTATCTACATTTCACATTCTTACGCACTATTCACGCTACGTCCTCTAACATTATATTTCAACGTTCCATGAAATATTTCCATCGTCATGCAAACTCGTCAACTCCAATAACGTTTCTTCGATCGTACGCGTTGAGTAAATTTCATGAAAATCGTTCCAGGGTATTAGGATGTTCTTTTCATGTTCTGGCTTAGCCCGTGCGTGACAACGCTGACGATCCATCGACGGAATATCCGACTATCGTATAAAAGTGTCCTCGATGCATCATTTCCCCTGACATTCTATATGCGAGATTTTTCGATCAAACAACAGAACGGTAACCATTTTCTACATCATGGCGCGAGAGAGAAAGAGGGGAAAGAGAGGGGAGAGAGAGAGAGAGAGAGAGAGAGAGAGAGAGAGAGAGAGAGAGAGAGAGAGAGAGAGAGAGAGAGAGAGAGAGAGAGAGAGAGAGAGAGAGAGAGAGAGAGAGAGAGAGAGAGAGAGAGAGAGAGAGAGAGAGAGAGAGAGAGAGAGAGAGAGAGAGAGAGAGAGAGAGAGAGAGAGAGAGAGAGAGAGAGAGAGAGAGAGAGAGAGAGAGAGAGAGAGAGAGAGAGAGAGAGAGAGAGAGAGAGAGAGAGAGAGAGAGAGAGAGAGAGAGAGAGAGAGAGAGAGAGAGAGAGAGAGAGAGAGAGAGAGAGAGAGAGAGAGAGAGAGAGAGAGAGAGAGAGAGAGAGAGAGAGAGAGAGAGAGAGAGAGAGAGAGAGAGAGAGAGAGAGAGAGAGAGAGAGAGAGAGAGAGAGAGAGAGAGAGAGAGAGAGAGAGAGAGAGAGAGAGAGAGAGAGAGAGAGAGAGAGAGAGAGAGAGAGATCAGGGTGGAACGCCGCGTGCCGGTTGGCGTTCTACTATTTTTAAAAGAGCTGGCTGACGAGTGCACCGAGCGGAAGTGCCTTTGACCGTACGTATGTACCTAGAGGAAGGGGAGCTGGACGATTTATCGAACAACTCCCAGAAGCCGCTGTGAACTAAATCTTGCGCAACGATATCTACGAAGAACTTACTAGCGGTCTGCGATAATAGGTCAGAGGTTAGGCGTATCGATTAGACGCAGATACCCGCTCTTAGAACAAGGGTGCGAATATCGCCGACGCTGTTACGAACGTGTAGATACACATTCTGCGTCAGAGTGCTGGTAACCTCTTGTTTCGCTGGATAACACACGGGTAAAGCCTGGATTCATTTATATTAAATTACCGGGAGATGGTATAATTTCGGTACTCTCATCAGAGCGTTGTTGCGTCCCTACTAATGAACACCTCGCGCGCAGAGAATACAAATACGTGATAATCGTTTGGCGATCGTATCTGGCGAAATGATCGTGGATTCTCATAATGCACGTATATAATCGTTGTTCATCGTCGCCAGACGTTTAAAAGGATCGAAATTACGCGTAATTTCCTCCCGTTAGTATCGGAATTATAGAGAAAGGAAGGAAAAGAAATGGAAATAAAAAAAAAAAGAAAAGGGAAGAAATATCGCCGGTGGAGAAACAGTACGCTGGAGGCGACGTTAATTGCACAGAAAGTGCCAAAGTGCCGTAAACTTCGAAGCACGGTAAATTCCGGCGGATTAAATGCGCTACGGAGTTCGCGGCGCGGA